ATACTAGAAATACAATGTCATAATCAAGTATAATAATAATAATAATGATTAGGTATCTACGGGGTTATTACAGTTATTAATGGTTATTACAGTTTATTAATTTAACAAGTAGAGTCCTTTTGAACATACTCACAGTTTGTAAAATATCATTAAATTTAAGCAGTATGAATTACTTGATAAAGATCTAGGTCGTAGGAAGAGAGTCGTTGTATCATTTTTTAAACTTCAGATACTGAGGTTTACCTTTAATTAGAAACCTTTGGAATGCCAGGAGATTTTCAGTTAGTGAGAATTTTATGTGATTATCCTAAGTTAAGGGGCATGAGAAAGTGTAATGAACAGGAGTTTCCTGTTCCCTCATGTAGGCAGATCTCGGAGTTTGCCATATTAATAAGTTTAGTATAGCGCAGCTATTTCTTTACAAATCAAAGTGAATCATAAGTGAGAATAACTGGAAAAAAAGTATTTATCAAGGATGCATCTTGAAAACTCAAAAAAAAAATTTAAAACAATGAGCTAGCAATAACAATTATATATATTTTAGTTCATAGTAAAATAAGATGTGACATGTAATAATGATTAAAACAGTATAAAAATTTCAAGCGATTGAACTACATTCTATCATAACAGCGTGTAAGAAGTTAGGCAGGTTTCTTGGACCTAAAAGATTAAGAACTAAATTTTGGATCCTCAAACCTTTCCTCAGCTTATCTAGTAATTTCTAGTAAATTGAAATTAATTAGAAAATTAATATATCAAGTAATATGATCTGTATAACTGGAATACGAACTTTAGGGTCTTTAGTTTTAGCCATTGAATAAACAACTCTCAGTAGTTTACATGTGTTTAACTAAACTTGAATGATCAATTATTAAAATACAGTAAGACCCCGCTTAACGTTGTTTCGTTTAGCGCTGTTTCGGTTTAGCGCTCTTTTATTTCAACCTCGGGATTCCCCGAAATGCTCGCAGCTGAACTACGGGATCCTCGAAATTTGCTCTGCGTAGTTTACCAAATAACATATCCGAAACTTTGTAGTTACGTTTCTTGTTGTGCGGTGAGGTGCTGTACGAAGCAATTTTTATCATTTGAAATTGTTGACATTATTGTAAATTAATTTCTAATACTATACGATTAATACAGTGACAAATTATGTCTTATTTTTATCATGGTCATAATAAAAACAAGAAAAGAAGCACCATAAAAGCATTTCACGAAACTAAATGGCATTGAGAAGATTAGTCTGGTAACGTCTCTCAAATAGTGTGCATTTAATTGGCAACTTCAACATAGGACAATTTTAAGATAAAGAAAAAATACTTCTCACACTGCAACGACGTCAGTCTGCAATAGAATTACCCTTTCTAGATAAATTATAGAGGAATGGAAAAACGAATGTCTATATGGATTGACGACTAATTGACGCATATTCCATTATCATCTATCATATGCCTTCTTGAAAAAAAGGCAGAAAATTTAACACAAATAGACTTATGATCTGATTAGCTTCACATTTTATTTGTTTTTATAATATATTCGTTTATATGTTTTATTTTTGTAGAAATAAATTTGTTTTATTTTTATTAAAAAACATTATAATTTAATACCTAACAAATTTTCTATCTCTTCCCCCTATAACTCCTTATTTACTTTAAGATAGCCTCGTTTAGCGCTGTTTCGCATTACGCTCTACTTTGATGGAACAGATCCCCCGCGTTAAGCGGGGTCTTACTGTATAGACCGTTTTCTCACAAAGGAATTCTTCTTCATCCGATTAGTGGTTCTAGAAACTATATTTTTAATTTTTATGTTTTAATGTACTGAAATCAACTGTATTTCTCAGTTAAAATGTTTAATGGAAGAAACATTTGCGCAGATTTTGCTTCATTAACCCTTAGAAAACCAAAGCCTTCCCTAGCCCTCTATGCTTAACCGAACGCCTGTCCCCGTCCATTACCCATGCCGTCTATTTCCTTCCCTTCCTTTTCATTAATGCATAAATAGAGGTGAAGATTTAAAATTATATCTCTTTTACATCCTGACATAGAAGCTTCCATTAAAATTTTATGAAAAGCGGTCTGCAATAAAACTGGTGCAATGAATTTGAAGAAACTGCACCTGCTACTGCAGACCTTAGGATGAGAGAAGAAAAAAACAAGATCGCAATTTCGGCCGTTTCGGGCGGTTGTGGTCGTTGAATGAAGGGCTATCTCGGGCGTTTTGGCCTTCAAAGAGTCAAGTTGTATTTATTGCATATAACTATGTACCTTTTTCCATTGCATTCCTGCTTATCCCCCTTTTCTATAGTTACGAGTCACAATGAATTCTTCAATACTTAATTTGCATTTTTGACGAATCAATAACCAGTTTACTGTTTCTCATTTCTGCATCCTATTCACTTTCGTCCTGCTGTTTTTAAATAAGGATGATTACTGGAACTGTAGAATAATGCTGATGTTGACTTTCGTTATTCAACAAAAATGAGAAATTAGAATGAGTTAAACGAGGCATGGTATTTTTGTTCTCAAAAATAAATGCATCAACAATAACATCATGGAGCCAGCGAATATGATATTCGATAGTCTCTTAGTAATAGTAGTCTCCAGTCGTAATATTACTGCACAGTCTTCGTAGTTTGTTTTTATATATAAATCAATAATGGTGCTGGTTTATGTTAGGACCCCAGCAACACCATGATGATACTTTCTTTGTATACTAGTACTTTCCTACTGATCCGCCTTTCTTCTTTCGTGCCAGATGAATTATTATTTGAAATTTGATTGCAGATTGAATCCATTTTCATCGGAGTCAAGATATTTAGTAAAATGTATCATCTAATTGCAGTAATCTAACGACATCTCCTATGGGTAAATCTTTCATGCATCGAATTACAGTTTAGTGGAATATTCAAACTCTGACTCGACGAACGAAATTAACTTGCCCCTATGCAGTCAATCATAACAAACTTTCCCGCACTGCAAAAGACTTATCAAATGGCTTAGTGTGTATTTCCGACTGCGTTCGGTTGTTGCCGCGAGTTATCATTCTTCTTGTGTAACCGTAGACAGAAGGTCTGAAGCACGTTGTTTTTTTAAACGCTATATGAATCCTAGAGACAAAATTGTGTGTGATTTCGATCTCCATTGCAACTTTGTGATTGCTGCGCATATTTCTAGGTTTCTTCTAAATCATCTATTGTATTTAAAATAAACTATACAACCTCACAATTACAGATTTGTTCTTCCGAATTCAGAGTTTGTCACTAACGCAGTTCTTTGACAGAGCTAATTTTTTTCGCACCCGTTTGTGAGTTACATAACCCTTAACGATAACGATAACGATATGAAATTTGCATGTGTAATTATTTGATACTGAAAATGTTTTAATTATTCAAATCTCAATAAAACTGGTTCGTCGAATTATGCAACTCTAGAACAGCATAATGATGCGTATTGATAAGTTTTGGGCATGTGTATATTATATATATATATATATACATGTTTTAACAGACGGAAAATAAGAAAGCCTGTCATTGCATGGTATCTTTCATCTGTTTCAACAGCTGGAATTATCTTTGTTAAGGAACTAAGGAAATGTACTTATTTCTTCCTTTCAGTGATGTCGAATCAATCTCTCCGCTTTTTTTATTTATATTTATTTGTGTGTGTGTCCATTACACATATTTCTGTGCGTATTAGAAAACACAGATATCTATAGCTTTTTTATGTATGTAATTATAGTTTCAGGTGAAATTTATAGTCCGAATACTTTTTCTGTTTGTCCATATTAAGGTTTGGAATATTTTCAGTAGCTTCAAATTATCCTAATGCACACAGTAAAGTTTATATACATACTGTATACTTTATATAGGGTGCGGCAGCGTTCATAGTAGGATATGAAAAGAAAACTATAAGGCAGTAATTGTAATTTATTTATTACCTCTTATGTGAATTAATAGTTAAAGGTATGTCATTTACTTACGTGTAAGCCATTGCCCATTGCGTGGATTACTTTTTGAATATGATGCCCCCTCTCCACAACACATTCATCTAGTCGGCGTTGGAAGCTTGCCATAACTCGGCGTAACGTATTCGGGACACTGCCGACGGCAGTTCGAATGCGATCCTTGAACTCAGGAATGGTGGCACAACGTGTTCGGAAAACTTCTTGCTTCAGGTGCCCCCGAAGTCGGCACATGAAAGATCAGGTGAGTGAGGCGGCTGGGAAATGTCACCAAAACTGGAAATTACTCTATCTGGAAATGTCTGTAGCAATGTTCCTTCCATCTGGAACTTTCCCATAACGTCCCAAATTGAAATGTTACCGAAATAGACGCTGGGTAGCAATAGCAAATTAGTTATTGTTGAAATAACATACAACAGCAAAGGCACGATGCTGTGCACTTCAACGACCAATATCACTGTCACACTAGAAAAGGCAGCTTATTGGTACACGAATGCGGCACGAGCTGGCACGCATTCATGCAATACATCATTGTGCTACGCAAGTCAAATTACACTATGAATGCGGCCGCACCCTATATATAATGTATATAGTATACATATTTTATATGTTTTACATACTGTATATGATATAATATTATGCATACTGTATACGTTATATATACTGTTTATGGTATACATACTCTATATGTTATACATACTGTACATGATACACTGTTATGATACTGATCGTTTATATATGTCATTGGTATACATACGCATATATTATCCTACTGTACATGATAAGCCCCTGTTATGGATACTGTATACGTTATATATATTGCATATGGTATACCTACTCTATATATTATACATACTGTACATGATACACTGTTATGGATACTGTATACGTTATATATATTGCATATGGTATACATACTCTATATATTATACATACTGTATATGTTTAATGTTAAAATAGTTTTATAAGTGTTATGTTTAGTCTTGACAAACGTTGTTTATATTTTAGTAAAATCCTTTATCTCTTTTCTGTTTTAGGTGTGAGGGGTAACGAGGATGGGAAAAGCGATGCATTAGCAATGACAGATTTGGAAAAAACGTACGATCAGAACCGGGAATCTGTGTATTTTCCTGCACCATACGCAACAAGTCGCGTACCGGTTTTGCATCGAGACGAAGTTGGCATGGAGAGAGATGGGTGTCGGAGTCTACATCATCACAGTACTCGACAGAATGACCATTTGTATGACATACCTCAGCAAATGCGAGATGATATGGTAGGTTTTGCATGTACTGCGCATTAATTTTAATTTCTGCACCAAATTTTCACTTTTTCAAATGCTAATTCTTCTCACAAAATCTAATAATGTATAAAATTAAATATCAAAGGTGCTAAGTTCTTTTTTTCCGCTTTGAATCTCCAAAAGGAAAAATATTTTCCAAATGAACATTTCACTTACTTTTCAAAACATTAAGATTAGTTATGTTTGATCGAAAGTCACAGTTTTACTTTGTTAATTTGTTGTTCATTGAAAAAAAAAATCCATTTAATAATTCTAAAGTTCGTTTGGAGGAAATACATTATAGGTTAAATAAACAGGCTTTAGTGATTTTTAATACTGTTTTTGTGCTTTAAGAATTTAATTTCTGATATACAATATTGTTAGTTCCCATTGTAGGGTATGAAGTTATAATTCGATTTTCGAATGAATTTTATCGCGGGAATTTATCTTTATATTTCCCCCGTAATACAAAGCTTTAACTTTTCTGTGATTTACATATAGAATTTAATAAGGTTAACAGTAATGTAACTTTTAAATAGAGTTACACAAATTTCAATAATAAATAAAAATAAAAATACTGTAATGGAAAATGCTATTAAAATGTTTTTACAAAATACTATAAATAGCTATTTTTTATCAGAAACGAAAGAACATCAAGGTTTTATTTTTTAAAAAATAAGTGCTGTCTCGTAGTTTTGTTTTCGATTTGAAAAAATTTCTTAATATGCATATATATCTGAAATATATATCTATATCTATATCTATTTACCTATCTATCTCTCTATATAATTTACAATTTTATTTATATTGTACATCTAAATACTTTTTACTTCCATCAATTATATTCCTATATATTATTTAAATTCTAGCATAATTATATATATATATCTTACAGGATTCTAAATTGTTTTTACCAATAAAGAGGGGTGATAGTACTCATTTAAATTAGCAATAATTACCATAGAATTACTATTAGAATTCCAACCTGATCTTAAATAGTGTCGGGAAAGCGAATGAACGAGACCAAAAGTTGCGCAATCAGTTTAGTGAAAAACTTACAGAGAGTGCACAAAACGGATAAAACCGAAACACCTCGTTCGAGTGTTAATTCGTGCTCAGACTTTGATGGCAAACACTCAAATGCACATTTTTGCGTCTTAAGGTCTCAATTTCACAAACGATTGCAGCGCTTAATTATCTAATCATGGCTGAATACTTTGATAACAAAGTATAAATTTTCCTCCTTCGCCATCTTCTATCCTGTCCTCCTGGACATACTGCACTGCGGTCATTCTACTTGAAGTACCCTTCTATAGGACACGAAGTTCTGACAGCCGGAACACAGCATGAACTTTTCATGGTTTCATGGTAATCTCGGCATACAACGGAAGTTGGAGTGGATAATATTCACCTCCTGATTAGATAATTAACTTATTTCAATCGTTTGCGAGGTTGAGACCTTGCGAACTAAAGACGTGCATTTGAGTGTTTGCCATCAGTGTCTAAGCACGAATTAACACTCGAACGCCAAGCTTTCAGTTTTGTGCACTCTCTGTGAGTTTTTAACTAAATTGATTGCGGAACTTTTGGTCTTGGTCATTCGCTCTTCCAACACTATTGTAAGAACAGGTTGAAATTCTAATAATCCTCTTTTCTGCATCTCAGGGTGGAATGCGACCCTATGTTCTATGGTAATTATTGCCCATATGGACATGGACAAGTACTGTAACCTCACTTAAATTGTAAAAGCAATTTAGAATCACCCTGTATATATATATATATATATATTTGTTGAGCAGGCAGGAGACAGACTTATGTCAGTCTGATATTGCAGATTAGTTCGCAGCAATAATTAATCATTTAACTTAAAATTTCATAATTTAAATTTATTTTTTAATTATCTTTCAATTGCATTTTGCGAATAAAGAATGTTTGTTAAATTCAAATTATGTATATATATATATATAATATAATTATATATAAATATATGTAGATATACTGCAACGAATTGACGATGGTTCTCTGCGTCCTATCTTGGGGATACGTTACTGCGTAATTAGAAAGAATACACTCGAAGGAGGGACATGTAGACAGATGTGGCAGAATTAAACATAATTCTTATTGCTAGACACGAACTGATTATCGAAAATAAATTTATCATTACACATGATCATGGGCGCATCACTCACCCAACAGTTTTATACACATTTTAGATAGCGGCTTAGTTAGCAGTTTCGACAAAGCAAAGAGAAGAGACCTGAAAGTAAAGTACTGAGTTATCCAATATGGAGGCTCATCAAGACAAGGTTTGGGTTTAGACTAGAAAGTTATCAGTTCTCGAAATTTTGATTTCAGGTTCCGAATCAGCTACGTCATCAGCTTTACGCAAGCCATGCCAGATGAGCTGATCTAGAAATGACGCATTCCAGACACGTTATTTGGGAAAATGATATGCAATGTAAAAATCTTAAATCCTAATTGTGTACCTCTTGTGACAACTTCAGATGTTGCTGTCGTCCAAATAAATCTAAAAACGTTTAGCCTGTCTCTGATGTACTCAATGCACATTTTAATGCACAAATGAATAAATGAGATTAAATTAAATTATATATTAGTTGCTAATTATATGGAAGCTAATGCCAAATCTCAGATCGTATTTATTCGTAGTGTACGTTAAATCATTTATAGCTATTTTGTTTCACTTAAAAATAACGTATGAGCACAAGGAACGAAATAATAATCAGTGAAATATGTATGTGTTATTAGGACTTCATAAAACACTTCACTTTAATTTATTGAGTGATTTTCAAGGTAATAAACTCCTAAGTAACAGCGGTTTCTCGCTTTGGCAAATAATTTTTAAGTATTTCTCCTTTCCCCCACTTTTATTCGCTGCTTTATTTAACAATATTTTGCTTTGTGCTAATTGAAACGAGTTTCAATTTCCAATTGCTAAGCATGTTTATATAGAATTATTTTATTAATTAATTTTTATTCTTTGTAACAGAGATGTTAATGAGTTCCTATTTAAAGGAAGTAAATGTTATTCTTTTCACTATTTAGCGAAGACACAGTTACCATATGCCATCAGATCAGGATGGGACGATTGAAATTCGAGATTACGGTAAGTACGGTCTTTACATCCGAAATCCGCTTTCAAACATCAAAGTGTTTCTATTGCAGGGCTGCTTAATTTTTTTTTCAGTCGCGACCCCTTTTTATCACTGAGATTTTTTTAGCCGCATAATACTTACAAAAATTTTCTGGAACCTTGTAAGCATTTCGCAAATCCGAAACACGTGTGAGTGAAACTGCCTATTTTTTACTTGTACTGTAATATACTTTTGCAGTTTTAGGTCATTAACTTTAATTTATAATTTTAAGACATGAAACAATGTAAAACTTTTAAATAAATAACAGACGAAATGACAGCATCATGTGCAAAGCAAGTACAATGAACGTTTATAGTATAAAAAGAATGAGTCGAACCGTTTCCGTTTTTTCTTTGTCTGTATGGTCTCATCTCTATATGTATTCAAATACATTGTGTAAAATTATTTGGCAAATGTAAAATTATTATAATAAGGTATTTCTCCCGCCTTCTTGGCATGCCTTCGTGGTGTGGTGGTCTGCACACTGGGTGTGCATTCCAGAGGTCCGCGGTTCGATTACCGGCAAAAGTGTTGCTAATTTTTCATCTTGCCTGCTTCCAAATATTCCTAATATTTCTACAAAGTTAAAGAAATACCAAAACTGCTAAACGTTTCGGAGACACCCTACTGAAGGTCCTGCGGCCACCACGGGGGTTGCGATCCACATTTTAAGAAACTCTGTTCTATTGTAATAGTTCTTTTCTAAAATAACAAATTAATAAGGAATAATAGGGATGATAGTTAGCTTCAGCTCTCTTACTTATTAATACAAGTTAGTAAGTAAGAGCGCTCTTTATTCGTTTACAAAAACGTTTTATTTTGTAATGTTATGTGAATAGTGTATTAATATTTCACGTTTCAAGAGTAAATTTGATTTATTGCAGATTAAAAAGAGATTACGCACCATTTTTCTGAGAACATTTTTGCTATATTTGATTTTAATTATGCTTGATCAATGATACCTCTTTATATTCTCAGAAGTGAATCATAAAACCTAATTTATACACAGACAACTAAAAGAAACTATTGATTAAATAAAAAGGATAGTGTACGTTTTATGTAAGTACGTTTTGCCTTTTAAATTATTAAAATGTTTCTTGAAATAAAAGATATTAAAGATAAATAAAAGATAGAAATAAGACCTGCAAATATTTAGGTGCATCTTCTGTTATCGGGCCGGATTCGGAAATGTAATATATTGTATGCATGTGCGTATATGTACATATGCTTACATGTATGTATCTATAGTTATTTCAACAACTACAAAAAATGTTAATTTTTCTCAAAATATAAATACATGTGAGTTCATTAGTGTGAAGTGTGACCGCATTAGGCACTCGGACTCTTTTGTGTTATTTTACTATTCTTTACGGTGGTACGCAAGAGAAAAATAGGTGGTACGCAAAGAAGCAAAGTATTTTTAACTATTAAATCAAAAAATTAAAACCCCAACATCCTGATTAAAGTTTTTCTCTAACACTCGTAAATTTCTGCGATCTGAGCTTTGTTCAAAAGTGGTGGTAGAAGTACTACTTTGTAGTGGTGGTACCAAAAGTTTTAAATTTTTATTTATATGGTATGCTTTAGTCAAAGGTTTGAGAACTGCTGTTCTAAGGTCTATAAATAAGCATTTTGAAAAGTCACATTGGAGTTGAATATATCGTCAGAACTTCCAAAGCGTTGGATCAAGACTGGACTTTTGCTATGTTCCTTTAAAATAATGTTTCTTAATATTGAAACTATCTTTATTTAGGTAATCTCTTTGCTTGAAAGATAACTTCCAGTGACCCTGTGAAGAATGTTAGAAATTTAAGTTTTATTCACATAGTAGGGAGAACTGGCTAGCATAAATAACAAACGCAGACATAGGATGTTGAGATATTTTTGCCATGCAGACTTGGGAGGAAAAAAGCCATTAGATTAAAACGTTTTTGAAATTTTTCTCATGTCTGAGTTATTTTATTTTGCCTTACGAAGATAAGAACTTGAAATTTGATAAACATTGATCCATAACATTTATGAAGAAATTACCATGCACTATGATGAATTTATTAGTTATTTTAAAGAAGTTTCAGCGGAGACTATAGTCTGTTACCTTAAAAACTGGCGGTTCAAGACCGTTGCCAGCCTCCCCGTTTGAGATCGTTACTCGTGACGTCATCATCGCACAGCGATAATTTTCTTCACGCCATCTGAGTTTGTAATTGAACTCAGCCTTGACTGGCGTACTTTGATGAGGCGAAAGAAGCTAAACGGAAGTGAAGTGGAAGAAAAAATTTAGATGACTCGAACTTGTTGTTGCTTCGTAGTTGTTGCTCTCATGGTTACGAGTTAAATCCGGCTGCAGAGAATAACCTTGAAGTTCTTGTTTTATACGGCATTTTCTGAAATCTTTAGTTTTGCTGTTTTTTTTTTTTTTTTTTTTTGTTTTTTTTTAAATAAGATATACATATAGATATTAAAAGAACTTATTATAAGAAATGTATATGTTTCACGGAACATTTGTTAGGAAATAGAATATGTAAGCATATTTCGCAGAAATTTGTAAAAAAATGTAATACCCTATAAATATATTTCATAAAAAAATAAAAAAATAAATAAAAAAAAATTCAGAAAAACCTTTTCAAGGATAAAAGGATCGGAATAATGCTTTAAGCAGAAAATCTTCGGCAATTGTTTTTAGTATTCGAAAGTAAAATAATTATTGTGATGGTATCGAAGGAAACTCATTTTAGTTTCTATTTTATTTAAAGAATGAAGAAAAATATTTCTTGAAATAACAATGGAAAATTACTTTTGCTGAAATGTCGTATTTGCACACACACACACACACCATTAAAAAAAAGAAAAAAAAAAAAAAAAAGCAAACAAAATTCCAGCGCTCTCATTTGAAAGACATCATTATTCTAGCATTTATTTTCATATTTATTTATATTCGGAAACACCATTTTCTTATACAAGTACACATATGTATACTTCGTATATTTATAATCTTTTAAGAATCCTTAAATGAGTTCATTAAAATAAAAATTACAGCTTGCGATAAAATTACACATATGTTAAATATAAAGATTTTCATTTGTTGTGTGCCTATTTTCATGTCCTTTTGTTCAATGAAAAGTCAAAATTTTTTTATCATTTTGCATTTTTTAATTAATGTTTCTTTTCTCAATGAAAAGTTATTTTTTTTTATCACCCTTTAAATATATCTAGATCCCACCCATCTCAGAAAAAATCTTTATTTATGATTAAAAGAACCTTTCTTGAGTTAATTTCAAAGTATTAAAATTGTAAATTTATATACGTGCATTCGTTTCTTATCTTAAATGAGCAAATCCCAATAATTTATAATGGTTATATAATGAACCACATTATAAAACGATTAAATTACAGATTTCGGGCCAAAAATTAGATGTTTTTGTATATCATAAAATACTTAAGTTCGATATTTATGTATCAAGTTACTAAAATTTAATGAAAGAAATATGACATACATAACATTATTATAATTTTCATATTTCATTCATTAAGGACTTTGACGTAGTTAAAATTAAAAAAATTATTTTCTTAAAAAAAACCGTAAATTAACGGTAATCAAAACACATCATATTGAACTTTCCGTTGTTCTAAATTGAACTGCAATACGATCACTCGGAATGCACAAGTAAAGTGTTTTATATATCCAAAATCATTAGGGCCCGAGTTCGAATCCCGGAGAATGCATAGTGGTTTTGCGGTAAGGGAACACTCTAAATATATGGCGAGCCGAAAATTCTCTCGTGTGGTTTGGTGGTAGAGGTGAGGGGTGGGAAACCTTCCGACTACCCCTCGGGTTGCTTTCCCACAAAATTTGGGTGGAAGTGTAAGCTCTAGGGATTTAGATTCTCCTTGTGGCTTTAGTAACCATTCTTTGATGAAATTCGTGGAGCTGTTTTCGTGACCACAGGCAGTATCTGACTTATTTAAAGCCAGAATTAAGCTAGACTATGCCTTTGATCGATTTTTATTTGATGTCAATATTTCAATGAGAAAAATATGTTACTTACCAGCATACATAGAAACGTCTGAAAAACAGCGTGGATGTAAATCATTCTTATGATTAAGAACATCCTTATTTATGAAATCTTGCTAATCAGTGATATATTTGTGGAGTAGAAGTAGGTCAGAAATAAATCACTGTGCATTCTAGAGATAAGCTCTTCAATACGAGATAAGTTCTTCATGTCATGATGCGATAATTCCTAAATTATTAAAATTCTGTTATGTTTTATAAGGTATTTCCTCCTCCTTTCGAGCATGCCTTCGTGGTGAAATGGTCAGCACACTCAGCGCGTTTTCGAGAGGTCGAGGTTCGAGTCCCGGGGAGGACATTGCTCATTTTTCATAAGCCTGTTTTGAAGAAGAACGTAATGTCTCTAGGGTGGCCCTCGAACAGGGACTCTAATCTGGACCTCTCCGATCACGCTCCGAGTGTGCGAACTGTTACACCACGAAGGCATGCAGAAAGGAGGGAGAAAACAACCTCATGTACACCCCCTTTTAAAGGACAACTGGAGATTATGAGACCCAGTCTCCAAATCCTGGTGGTGTATAATCATTACCCGCCACTTTTTTTACTTCGGGCTCCACTGTAGAGACATTAGGATTCTTAGATGCACGAGGCATAAAATATAAGCAATGCCCTCTCCAGGATTCGAATTCTGCACCTCTGGAATAAGCGCCGAGTGTGCTAATCGTTACACCACGAACGCAAGCTAAAAGGAGGGAGAAACTACCTTAAAGCACTTTATCCCTCTTTAGCACATGTCTTCGCCGCATAATCAGAAGTAGGTCCGGCTACTGTCGAGAGGTATGGATTTCGTGTCCCTGCGAAGCATATTTCATTTTTCAAAACTCCACTTTCATTGTTCTGAGATAAATCGAATAATTCTACAACTTTAGCTGATAACAACATTCATTTAATTACATGATT